CCGGCCAGGACATGAAACAAACCCAGTAGCTTTGCCGTGTTATTCCAGTTCCAGGGATTAGGTGGGAAGGAGAGCGGGTGGGGGTCCCGGGCGCTGCCTCTCCCAGGAGGTGGCACTACAGGGCTGCGCAGCCAGGAGCCCTGGCGGCGCTCCAGAGGGGTTTGGCAGAAGACGCTTCCAGGTCTGCTTCATCCATCCCCTGCTTTTCAGGAGGAAAGGCCAGATGTAGCACTGATAGCTGCTTACCTATCTATCCCGGAATAAAATTTATTAGGATTGAAGCGCCCCGGGTAGGTCACTTATTCCATATAGTAATGATCCTATAGTAATGAGTGAAAAGCCATTTCTGATCCCATGTCTGAAGTACCCTTCCTTCAATTTCAGATAATGCCTTTGGGCTTTGTCCTTATTGCGTATTTTGAACAGATTTCTACCTGCTGCTTGTAAAAAAGAACCCCCTCAGGTATTTGTCAACCATAATTAGGTCGTCTTGCAACCTCCTTTCCTAACCTGCACATATTCTGTTCTTGCAATCTTCCCCTGTAAGACACTCTTTTCATAGTCCTTGTATCTTTTGTATTGGTTAAATTAGGAACTAATTAGTATTCCCTTTATTTCTCGGAAACCTATTGATAGTGAGAGGGTCAAGTGACAAGCATAGTCCCTAATGCATTTTCTGACCTGAAGTGAGGGTCAAACCCACAAATATTCCCCTTAACTTTGCAGGTATAAATACACAGATGATTGCGTACACTTCACAGCTGATTTCAATTGAAGGGTTGAAATCTGTCTCATGCTGTGCTACAAGACAAAACCATTGGAGATACGGACTAGAATTTATTGGATGTTTGCTTTAATTTTCTGCTCTATTTTCAGAATGCCAGTTTTATTTCCTGTAATTTTGGGGGGCAATGCTTTTATGTGTAGGAGAAACCATGCTCTTTCCATGGTGACAAAGTAGTCAGATTAGCAAACCGAGTCTTCATTTTTGAGTATTTGTTTTTGCACTCTTGTTTTGCTGTAAAGGTTTGTCAGAACAGGCATTAGTTGTGGGGCATAAAGAATACCGCTAAGTGGTTTGAAACAGCTTGTCTTCAGGATTTTTTGGGGAAAAATCTGAATCGCTGTTTTAAAATGCAGAACTAAAATTCCAGCCCCCACTGATGTAACAATAAATACCTGTATTTATAAAGTATGATCTTCTACCTCAAAGTACTTGGCACATTCAATAAGCATTAAGTTTTTAATTCAACATAATGTGAAATAGCAGTGTAATATAAGAATATTTAAAATAATGTTAAATAACAGTACTTAAACATTTTGCATAATACAGTGCGCTGCACTTACTTGTGAAAGTTGCCAGTAGAGTCTTCAGAAAAGTATTTAAGTGCTTTCAACCACTCCTTATCCTTAAAAGGAGTATTTAAATATCCTGCTAAAGGCATGGAATTTAGTGTATATACTTTTGAAAGATTTTCTTTGAAATCATCTTTAGTCATAGAGACCAGTTTGGGTTAGGTCATCATCAGTGTTCCTGCTG